AAATGTAAGAAACGGTTAGAGAGTGCACATGGGCTGGTTGCGCGCAATGGTCCCGCGCAGCCAGCCCATTTGCCAGGCTCTGCCTGGCTATCATAAAATGAAGCCGCAGTTTGTAACTTTGACAACGGCACAATGATCTCCCGCAGCAAACCCCAAAGTCTCCCGGTAATTTGTCATAGTTGAGGTGGAATGCTGGGATCATACTTTAGCCCTTATAAAGGATTGTGCGTAAAGACGCCCAAGCTTGACCAATTGCGTAATCCCAGAAATAGTGGGATACTGCTCATACAGCCATACCATTTGTGGTGGTTACAACTTATGATGGTATTCCATATACCGGTATGGCCTCGCGAATTGCCAAACATAGCCTGGTGAACCGGGTATTGCGCTGTCCACACTGAGCGTTTTTAGTATGCCGTTGTTATCCAACCTCTCGTGAAGGCAGGGAATGAAACGAAGGTCAATGTTTGGTGGCCGAATTCCTGGGACTATCTTTACAGCAGAGATGCTGGGCTATAATCATACTAAAGCTAAGAAGATAATGTGCAGTTTGTATGGCTTAACCTGCATACTTTATGGGCTACAAGGCGCGCGAGCGACGGCATCCATTGGAATGCCTTGCTTGAGCGCTGCCCGCCTGTTGACTCGCATTCACCTAGAACAAACAGGATGCATAGAGGGTCAGGTTGCCTGGTTTCAAGGTGTTAAGGATAAAAACGAGGACCAGGGTCCCGCGGGTCCAAGAGATGTGGGAAACCTACATGCATGCCCAACCACACTCGCACGGCGTAACCAATCGAGCCCCACGCTTGGCCACATGACACTATATGTCTAGGGAGTCTGTAGGTGTGACGGCGGGCTCAGGTACCGCTCGCACGGTCGGATAAGTGCCCCAAACCCTGGGTTTGACTAGGCCCCCCACCATGCACCCGGTCTGAACGGCACATCCTGCCCAACCACACTCGCATGGCGTAACCAATCGAGCCCCACGCTTGGCCACATGATACTATATGTCTAAGGAGTCTGTAGGTGTGACGGCGGGCTCAGGTACCGCTCGCACGGTCGGATAAGTGCCCCAAACCCTGGGTTTGACTAGGCCCCCCACCATGCACCCGGTCTGAACGGCACATCCTGCCCAACCACACTCGCATGGCGTAACCAATCAAGCCCCACGCTTGGCCACATGACACTATATGTCTAAGGAGTCTGTAGGTGTGACGGCGGGCTCAGGTACCGCTCGCACGGTCGGATAAGTGCCCCAAAACCCTGGGTTTGACTAGGCCCCCCACCATGCACCCGGTCTGAACGGCACATCCTGCCCAACCACACTCGCATGGCGTAACCAATCGAGCCCCACGCTTGGCCACATGACACTATATGTCTAAGGAGTCTGTAGGTGTGACGGCGGGCTCAGGTACCGCTCGCACGGTCGGATAAGTGCCCCAAACCCTGGGTTTGACTAGGCCCCCCACCATGCACCCGGTCTGAACGGCACATCCTGCCCAACCACACTCGCATGGCGTAACCAATCGAGCCCCACGCTTGGCCACATGATACTATATGTCTAAGGAGTCTGTAGGTGTGACGGCGGGCTCAGGTACCGCTCGCACGGTCGGATAAGTGCCCCAAACCCTGGGTTTGACTAGGCCCCCCACCATGCACCCGGTCTGAACGGCACATCCTGCCCAACCACACTCGCATGGCGTAACCAATCAAGCCCCACGCTTGGCCACATGACACTATATGTCTAAGGAGTCTGTAGGTGTGACGGCGGGCTCAGGTACCGCTCGCACGGTCGGATAAGTGCCCCAAACCCTGGGTTTGACTAGGCCCCCCACCATGCACCCGGTCTGAACGGCACATCCTGCCCAACCACACTCGCATGGCGTAACCAATCAAGCCCCACGCTTGGCCACATGATACTATATGTCTAAGGAGTCTGTAGGTGTGACGGCGGGCTCAGGTACCGCTCGCACGGTCGGATAAGTGCCCCAAACCCTGGGTTTGACTAGGCCCCCCACCATGCACCCGGTCTGAACGGCACATCCTGCCCAACCACACTCGCACGGCGTAACCAATCGAGCCCCATGCTTGGCCACATGATACTATATGTCTAAGGAGTCTGTAGGTGTGACGGCGGGCTCAGGTGCCGCTCGCACGGTCGGATACGTGCCCCAAACCCTGGAATTAATTAGGTCCCTGATCAAAGACAAGTATACCGCCCCAACCATGCGCGCACGCCGCAACCACTTCAGCATTACGCTTGCTTACATGCTTTGTGTGTTGCCTTATGCCGTAACGAGCCTATCCTGTGTATATCTTGAGGCTTATGCGGTTTCCTAACGTCGTGCGGTCCCGTGGGCCCGTAAGTTGCCCATGGCAAGACTTCCCTGTTAAAGTCGCGCCTTCAAGCTTTAGCTGATGGTTTGTTTAGTCCTGTCCTGGCGGTTAGCAATGTTCGCGAGAGAAGGTTCAGCTTGGTCAATTGACCGGCATGGCCTCCAGCAGAATGCACCTCCAGCGTTTTCTGTGGCTTTCTTATAAATTATTTTACAGTTTATGTTAGGTAGAACGGTGCATTTGTCGCAAAGACGTATGCTTGAAGGGCAGCTCTGTCAACGACTTTCGCCATGCTCCCTGACTTCGGGAAAGGGCGACATTGTGACACTCTATGAGGAACACAGTACTAAGATCAGCAGGTCGGGCCAGCGTAGCGATACCTGGGATAACCAGCATATGTGGAATCCCAGTATCGCACGCACTAGGGCTATACACTCGATGCAAATGCAATCAGAGAATACGGTGCTACACCTAAATACATACTGTGCTTTAAAACGAGACGGAATTGTCAGGCCAGGAAATTGGGCGTGTCGCGCGGGACCGTTGCGCGCAACCAGCCCGTACATAGTCGACACCGTTTCTTGCATCTTTCGAAACGCCGGTGAACGCTGCAGATAGAGAGTATGGCGCTATGCCCATAAATACATACTGCAGTTAAAACCGAGACAAATTTGTCGGGCCAGGAAATTGGGCGTGTCCCGCGGGACCGTTGCGCGCAACCAGCCCATACATGGTCAACAACGTTTCTTGCACCTTTCGCGACGCCGGTGAACGCTTCACATAGAGAGTATGGCGCTATGCCCATAAATACATACTGCAGATTAAAGTGAGGCAGATTTGTCAGGCCAGGAACATGGGCGTGTCGCGCGGGACCGTTGCGCGCAACCAGCCCATTTTCAACGTAATTTCCATTGCGCGCAATGCGCCCAAGTTCCCGGCTAATACCTTGCTCGATGGTGAGGGTGAGGGTGAGGGTGAGGGAGCGAGGAGGAGGAGCGCACGCCGGTTAGTGAGGCTGCGCCGGGTCGGGTGGCGGGTTTCTGCTTATCCGAGCAGGGCCACAAGGTGTCCACTGGCTGGATGGCTGCATAGCCTGCATGCCTGTCAGGAACTCAGGATGTGAGGTTGTACTGCTCTGCGTGTTGGTTCGTAGTGTATATATTTCCTTTGGGGTTTGGCACGCCTTCCATACCTGGCGGCTTGTATGCAGCAGCAATAGCGTTGAGCAAAGATGGGCATGAGCGAGGGGAGTTTTGGCAGTATCGGAATGCGGGATCAATGTGGTTGAGGGTGCAGCATATCGGAGCAGGCAGCCATCCAGCAGCTGCTGCTTGTTAGCTATACCGGTAGCTATGTGACAGCGGGGGAAAGCGCTCTCGGTTAGGCACTTGGTTGAGCGGCCATGGTGCGGCGGACCGGCGGTGGTGCTTAGCAAAGTGGAAGGAAGGGGGCGGCGGCACTGCCTGCACTTGTGTGTGCGTGTGTGTGTCGGCGCCGCTTAAGACGAAGGGGAAATACATCAGATGCTTGCATGCATGGTGTTCCGTTCGAGTGCGTGTGTTGTTAAGAGGGCGGTGCTAGCTGGGCGGGACGCGTGCGTCATCATGGACTGATGCTGCTGGGACATGCCATCATGGTAAGCTAGCTTACCTTGGGGGTGCGCGGCGGGGGATAGAAGCAAGCCTGGAGGCAGGGGTGCCCGGTTGGGAGGCTAGCTGCTAACAGCGATGTGGGTCATCCGAGCGGGGGAATGCATGCATTGCCGTATCCAGCGGCGGTGACGGCAGGCAGTACTGTTGTACTGCTGGCACCTTTCGCACTGGCTGCAGTCATCTTGATGCATGTAAGCGAGTACAGGGTGTGCAGGCCAACCAGTTGCCCTCAACGTGATGCAGGCGATGATGGGAGATGGGAGGGAGTCCTAGCCTAAAAGCCGTTCCTTCACTCACCTAAGCTTTGGCAGCCCCCATCACTTTGCTGCCAGTGCATTTTTGAAACACCACCGCCGCAAACGGCAGCAGCAGCAGCAGCAGCAACACCGGCAGCAGCACCGTGTTTATTTGCGAGTTGCAGTCCGATTGACGCACGGTAACACCGCGTGCACACAGACAGCAAGTAAGGCAACTTCTCTCAGGTTACGCATTCCGTAGTAGTTGTGACGAAAACCACAACACATGCAGCAACCACATCAGCTCTGTGCACCTCCCAGCAGCACCCAGCAGCCCGCACCTGCACCCTTACAACCCCCGCCTACCTTGCATGCCCGCTCCCCTCCTTGGGCACAACCCACAAACCCACACGCTATCTCGGCACTTTTGGCGCAACCACCACCCCGCAACATCCGCTGCAAGATCATGGTATGCCACCATCCCTCATGCCGTACGTGGTCTGTGTGTGCAAAACCATGCGCGCCCGTTCCCCCACACCTCCCATGCACGCATGGCCTCAGTCCTGGGCTTCTTCCCCCATCACCTCCGACACCTCACCCCTAAAGCGACGACAGGAGTACACCCATACGGCCCCTTCCCCCACACCTCCCGCCCTCCCTCCCTCAGCTGCGTTCACTATGTCCCTCCTCGTTCTCCTAAACTCCCCTCCTCTCCCTCTTCCCTTCCTGTGCCCTGCTTCCAACCTCCCCTCCTCCTCCTCCTCCTCCTCCACCTCGTTCCCTGCCTGCCTCACGTCGACGCCATGGTCAGGTTCTGCACGCTCATCAGCTCCGCGTAGTGTGACCCGTGGGTCGCCAGCAGCGACTGGTGGGTGCCCACCTCCGCCACCCGCCCGTTGCGCATCACCACGATCTGGTCCGCAGCCTGGGAAGGGGGGCCGGGGTGGGATTAGTACAGAAATCATTAAATTCAGAATTTGTTTAAAAACTAAAAGTAATGGTCATATCCTCCCCCTTCTCCACCCCCTCCTCCTCCCCAAGTCAGTTACTTGTTTCCTCTTTACCTCCCCCTACCTCCTCCTCCCCCTCCCCCTCCTCTACTTTGTGTGTTGCTACTAACCCAACAAACTTGGATATGCGCAATCCTAAAATCCAGCGTAATGTGGAATCTGCATCCCTATTAAACCCCTCCTCCCCTTCCCCTCCCCCCCCCCCACCTGCACCCTCCTCCCCTCCCCCTCCCCCCCCACCTGCACCCTCCCCCCCTCCCCTCCCCCCCCCTCCCCACCTGCACAGTCGCCAGCCGGTGTGCTATCACCAGCACCGTGCGCCCCGACACAAGTCGGTTGATAGCCCCCGCCACCAGCCGCTCCGACACCACATCCAGCGCTGACGTGGCCTCGTCAAGCAGGATGATGGGCGAGTCCTTGATGATGGCACGAGCTAGGGCGATACGCTGGCGCTGGCCGCCTGGGGGGGGGGGTGCGGGGTGGGGGAGGTAGGGGGGGTGGAAAAGAAGGAACAAGAAAAAAGAAGAATTCCGGGGGGGAGGGTCAAAGGTAGACCAGAACCGCAAGTGAGTGCAAAGCAATTGGGAGGTAGTGCGGGAGGGAAGATGTACGGTAGCCTCGGCAGGCTGCGAGGAAACAACTAACGAACCGTGTGATAAGGCGTAATCATGGTTTGCAACATGCGTGAGCCGGCCCATCCAGCCCGGCCGAGAACCAGACAAGTCAGTAGGAGGAAGCGAGGCTGGGTGGGGAGGGAGACGATGCCGCAGCTTCTACACATCCATCACACCCGCCCGGCCCCTCCCGCCGTGATGGCGCCTTACCACACAGTCAGTTACTTGTTTCCTGTTTGCCCCCCCCCCCCCTTCCAGCCCCCCCAACCCCCACCTGACAGCAGCACCCCCCGCTCCCCCACCACGGTGCGGTAGCCGTCCGGCAGCTTGGAAATGAAGTCGTGTGCGTTGGCGGCGACAGCGGCGGCTTGGATCTCAGCCAGGCTGGCGGTGCCGAACTTGCCTGGGGGGGCGTGGGGGGGGGGGGAGATGCAATGGGGAGTGGGGGGGGAGATGGGGTGGGGGAGGGGGATAGTGGTGAAATTACGCGCCCATTAAGCTCATGATGTCGCACCACGATGCCAGCTTTCTTGAAACACACGGTGGGAGGACTTCATCTTTCGGCAATCACAGTACGTTTCTCCTCGCGGCCAGTTATTTTAACACACACGCGCCCCACCCTTGCGTTTGCCCTAACCTGTGGCTTCCTATATAGTTCACCAACATCACCGACATGCGCCGTCACTCGTCACCCGCCACTCTTCTTACATCCAGCAACAGCTATTTCAGCAGTTTTTGAATTACGGTTCAGGTTTGGTCACCTCTGTTTTGCCTGAACTCGCGGTTCACATGCGAACCTATCCCAATTGCTTGCTCTTGTCCTACTCAACTACACACCCATGCACCCCCCCATACACACCCATACTCACCCATGCACCCCTCCATGCACCCCCCCTCCCCCCCCTCACCATACGCAATGTTATCCGCGATGGTCCCACTGAACAGCACCGGGTCCTGGCTCACCAGCGCCACCGCCCGCGCCCACTCTCCGCGGCTGAAGGAGCCGATGGGGCGGCCGTCCAGCAGGATGGCGCCCGATTGGGGCTCGTAGAAGCGGGAGAGCAGCGCAGCGACCGTGGATTTGCCTGGGAGGGCGGAAGGAGGGGGGGGGGGGAAATAAGGAAAACTGACGAACTGAAAGACGGGGAAGGGGGTGGGAGGGAGGAGGAGGGGGAGGGGGGGAACAGGTAAACGATAAGTGCCGCAACGAAGTCCCCATCCCGCCTCCCGACTCATATGCAGTGAGCGCATTTGAAGACATTTGGGGAGATTCGGGGAGATTTGGGGAGGGCGGATAGTTGGTTCCTTTACTCCTCGTTAACCACCACCCCCTGCCCTCCCCCTCTGTGCGGAGCACCCCATCCCGCCTCAAAACCCCCCTCCCTCCTCACCACCACCACCCCTCCCCGCCCAGCTCGTCCGTTCCCTCTTTATAACCCCCCACCCTCCCTGCCCTCCCCCACCTGCGCCCGACAGCCCGACTAGGGCGGTGGTGCGGCCGTGGGGCAGCGTGAGGTTCAAACCCTGGGTTTGGGGGGGGGGGAGAAGGGGGAGCAGGGCGGGGGGGAGGGTGGTGGGGGTTAGGATCGTCTGGAAACTCCGCATTAGGCTGGAGAATGGGGGAGGAGCAGGAGGAAGAGGGTGTGAATGAGTGTTAAGATGTTAAACCTACTGCTGCGTTGGCATGCGGGGGCGTGGTTTGTGAAGAGGCTGGATTTTGGCAAAGGGGCATGGAAGCGGCAAAGGGGGTTGACCTAGGAGCGGTGAGGTGTGTAGGAATGTGTAGGAATGGCGTGCCATACCGCACCGGCAGTCAAGAGGCCCAAACCGCCCCTTATTCGGTGCAATCACAGTACAGTCCTGCTCACATACCGTACCTGCAGTACAAGCGTGTCAGGTCGTGCCGGGTACGCAAAACACACGTCCCGCAGCTCCAGCCCCCGCCCCCGCCGCGCCGCCACCACCGCCGCATCCCCCGCCGCGGCGCCGTACGGCTGTACGACAGGCGCGTCCCCGTTTGCCACCTCCCACCATGCGCCGGGGGGCAGGGCGCCGTACATGGAGGGGTCGGGATCGGAACTCTGGATGAGCTCCCGGACCTGATGAGGGGGGAGGGGGAGGGGGGGGAGGGGGCGTGCGTGTGTGTTTGGGTGCCCCGGTGTGACAGTTACGTGCGGATGATCCCCCCTCCTAACCCTCCTTCCTTCCTCTTCCCACCATCCTCTCCATCTCTCCTCCGCCTCCCAAGCCCCCTCCCAAGGTGAAGCCTCGTCATACAGCTCGCCAGTTTCCCATTTTTACCCCCCCCACTCCCCACCTCACCCTCTGGAACGCCCCTGACGCCCTCCTCAGTTCGCTCAGGGTGTTGGCTGCCCCCTGCACCGCATACATGAGCGAGAAGGTGAAGCCAATGCCGCTCACCAGCACCCGCACCGGCATCAGCCCGCGGGACACCAGCCAGCCGCCCCAAGCGTACAGCGCAAGCAGGGAGGCGTGGATGGCGGCCCTGGGTTAGGGGGGGAGGAGGAGAGGGGAGGGATAAATGATAAGATAAATAATAAATAATGGAACGTGAAGCACGGGGGTCCCGATCCCAAATCACAACTCATGCAGTTGGGGGTTAAAAATAGGGTTCTCCCCCCACCTGTTGGCCCCACACCCCACCCCACCCCTCCCCCGCCACTCCCGCTACCATCCCGCAACCCGCAGCCGGCCCTTCCACATGGCCGGTTTGGGGTTTTCTGTAACCTCCCCCTCACCCCAACCCCCAGCTCCCCCTCCCCACGCCCCAGCTCCCCCCCTCCCCGTCCACCCCACCCCCCACCTGTTGGCTGTTTCGAACCAGGCTTTTGCGGATGCGAAGGCGAGTCCGGCTCGGTAGCTGGCCCCTACGTGGGCCTGAGGAAGGAGGTGGGGGGAAGTGGGGGGAGGGGGAGGGGGAGCGCTGACGGTTAGTCAGCTTATTCCTCTCTACCTACCCACCCTCTCTGCTCGGTTGTTCTCCCTCCCTCCCTTCCCCACCTGGCCCCCATCAGCCCCCTGGCCCCCCCAATTACTACCTAACAACCACCCTAATCACATGCTAACCCATGCCTCCAAGCCTCATGCGGAATCCTCAACCCTACTAACCCCCCCTCTTCCTCCCCCTCTTCCTCCCCCCCCCCCCCCCACCCCCCCACCTGGAACCTCTCCCGCTCCAGCGCCTCCCCCGCAAAGCTGCGCACTACCCGCATGTTGTCCAGCGCCTGCTGCGCCACCGTCACCATGCGACCCAGCGCCGACCCCTGGGTCCGTTCGATGGATCGCGTGTGCCGGCGGTACACCGCGGCCGCCAGCCCGGCTGCCAGGACCACCAGGCAGCAGACGGGGGCCAGACGCCAGGAGAGCGCGAAGAGGACAAGGATGGAGCCGCCGGCCTGGGGGGGAGAAGGTGGGGTGGAGGGATAAAAGTAATGACGAGGCTTATCCATGGGTTGCTAATTGAAACCGGCCCATCCAGCCCACCCGGAGGGGGAGGGGAGAGGGAAGGGGGGAGGTGGAGAGGAGGGGACTAGGGCTTCTCCCTCGCTCTTTTCCACGCTGCTCGGTTCCCCCCCCAGCTGCTGGCCCCTCCCACACCTCCTCCCCGCTTCACCCCGCTTGACCGCTCGCACCTCCAGGAACGCCCGCAGCCCGCGATCTCGTGACACGTTGCTGCGGGGTTGGGAGGGTGAGGTGGGGGAGGAGGTGAGGGGCGGAGGAGAGGTCAGGAGGGGGGTCGGACGCAATGCAAGGGGCTATGCGGAGGAGGGCGCGAGGCACGGGCACGGAAAGGGGGTACGACGAAGCAGTGGTTGGGGAAAAGGGGAAGAGGGGTCCGAGCAATGCCGCCTAGTCGGACTAATCCACCCCCTCTAAACCCCCTCCCTTTCCCTCCCCTCCCCTCCTTCCCCCGTAATGCTACCACCTACCCCCCCCCCTCCTTCACCTCCTCCGCACCCCAAACCCCGTTCCCTTTTTCCCCCACTCCCCTCTGCCTACTTACTTGAACACGAATCCCTCCCCTTCCCCCCTCCCCCTCTTCCCTCCCCCCCCTTACTTGAACACGAAGCCCCGCACCGCATCCAGCTCCACACTCATCAGCGCCGTCAGCTGCGCAGTGGTGTGGCGGTCGAAGAAGCTGAGTCGCTGCATGAGCAGCGTGCGGAACAGCTCCAGACGCAGCGAGGCCAGAACCTTCTCCCCGGCGGACAGCATGTTGTACATGTAGACCTGGGCGGGCAGGAGGGGGGGGGGAGACAGGGGGGAGGGAGGACAGGGGGGGGAGGAGGGGAGGGGAGGGGAGGGTGGTAAAAAGGAGGAGACACACGGGAGGTAGGGGGAGGGGTGGTTGAGGGTGGCTGGGCTTCAGCGCCGCTCCCAAACCCAGGCTTCCCCCTCTCCAAGGCTTTCCTCCCCTGACTCTCCCTCTCTTCCTCCCACCTCCACCCTCCCTCACCATCACCCCCCACCTCCACCTCCACCCCCACCTCCCACCTCCCCCCTCCCCCTCCCACCTCCCACCTCCCACCTGAGTCAGCAGCGGCTCCAGGGTGTAGCCAGCTGCTAGCAGCGCCAACACCTGGCAGGGGGGGGAGGGGGGGGGAGGGATGGTTAACAGGGGGGAGAGGGGTTTGAGGGGTTCGAAGTTGCGAGTTAGGCTGGATTACAGGTGAGGGGGGAGGGGGAGTGTACTACACACACACGTACGTTTCGCCTCGCGGCCAGTTATTTTAACACACGTACCAGGGTGCCCAGGAGCTGAAAAGGTGACCCGGCAGGCATGCAGGCATGCAATGCGAGCTGAAGCCCCGTGGGGAGCAGCACGGGGGCCATGCAGGCCCCTCTCCGGCTGGCTGACTCTTCCCGGGCCCCTCCCCTCCCACCCCTGCCTCCCCTCCCCTTCTCGCGGCTCAGTTTACCTAATCCCCTCCGCGTACCTCTCACCTCCCCCACCTCCTTCCCGCCCCCTCCCCCTGGAGAAGCCTCGTCATCCAGTTCGTCAGTTTTCCTTATTTTTACCCCACCTCCCTCCCCCTTCACCTCCCCTCACCTCCGCGTACTTGCTCAGCGGCTGTCCGCCCATCAGCATCTCCAGCAGCCACCCGCTCAGCACGGGAGCAGCCAGGTTGGAGGCGGTGCAGGCCAGCAGGCAGGCGGCGGCAAGGCCCAGGTGGCGCCGCTCGCGCCACAGCAGACCCAGCATGTAGGCGTCGTCGAAGGGCGCGCGGCGGCGGGAGGCGAGGCGAAGCACGCCGGCCAGGCTGCGAAAGGGTGGGGGGAGGAGGGGGTTAACAGTAGTACTTGGGAGGGGGTATTTCCCCAATCCCATATCCCTACACTTGGGAGGGGGGGAGGGAAGGGGGGTTACGGCATGTTAGTTGCCATGCAGCAGACGTGAGGTTGCGCATGTCACGAATGCCTGGCCGCAAGGGGGAATCCTGGCGGACCGAAAGCCGATATCCAATATACCCATTACTTCGTACCCCGGCCCTTCCGTCGTAGCCCCAGCGCGAGCGCGCTTACTCTTTTACAAGGGGGTCGGAAGTGGAGGGATTTTGAATCTCCAACAGCGTGTCATTTACGATGCGCCTGTCGTCGAAAGCTGCTGACAATGCATGGAGACGGCGAGCAGGTAGCGATCTTCCGGGTTTAAGAGACGGCCGGCATCCGACAATGCCAATGAAACATACATTTGCTGGCTTCTTACAAGCTGGGGCGCTGACCGCCCCGCCAGCACGTAGGTTCAAGGCCGTATTCATGCCTGCTAAGAGCTAAGTGGTTGTTTCTTATTTCATCAGGACGTCATTGCTCATTTTTTACTCCACGTGGAAAAGCTAAGGCGTCAGGTGTTTCAGCGAGGAATAGCGATACAGGTCACTCAGCCAGGGTCACAGCAAATGTAGAGACTAGGGAAGCGGTTTACGTATACTGCATGTGTCAGAATAAACAGCGCTGAAGCGACTGTTTGCCCAAAGGGTGTCATAACGTTTACGGGTAGCTCCGAGATTGGCGGTTGGTCGGTTAATCCACCACTTCGTGCTGCTCTGGCTTTGCCGCAACCACGAAGCACTATGGCTCTGCACAAGAAAGCTTAGGAAGCTGTTGTAGGCAACAAACGCTTACAACTGTCATGACTTTACTTGAACTCGACGACGTAAAGCAAGTCAACTGTATGAAAGCTTACACAAGCTGCAGCGGCTGTCCCAGATAACGCGAATTCCAAAAAAATGACAGTCCTTGAACTTCTTCGGCGTAGCCTCGGTTAACAGCCGGTGCGTCTGGCTAGCTCCTGTCCTGTTGAAGTCGTCCCCTTTGCGCTTGTCCATAACACCTGAGGATCTGGATGCTCAAACTGGGACAAAAAGCTTAATTACCTACGCTTGTGGAGTTAGCAAGTTCTTTGTTGGTCTGCGCCTGACATGCTGCGTGCGTCGCATGCGCACTGCCCGACCGGGCCCCTAGCCCAACATGTCATAAGGCGGAAGCTGTATTTTCGTATGCCGCTTTCCCTCTCATAAGTCAACCCCCTGTTTCGCTTTCCTAACCTGCCGCTCCGCCAACCTCCATTTCGCCAAAGCAACCCAGCAATCCCATATTCAATAGTCAACCGAACCAAAAGCCCGTCATAGTTTTCAGTCACCTTAAGTGCTCATGGACACGCGACGGCCGCTGCTGCCGTTGCCACCAGCGGCACCGCTGCTGCTACCGCTCATGCTCATTCTCAAGCTGATGCTGTTGCAGCCTAGAGCAGCCCTCAGCGCCCTTCCCTGCGAGCGCAGCGGCTACTGCAGTCTGGGCAAGACGCAGCCCTACGTGGGCGAGGTGGACTCGGGTAAGGCGGAAACTCACCAGGCCAGACCGGGCTAGGCTTAGGCTGGGCTGACTTACAGGTGGACTCGGAAGGGCACCAGCGGTACATAGACGGGGCATGTTGCCCGCCTTTGTGGGGGCACAGCGGGGCGATAGGAAACCAACCAGACTAGCATGAGTAAGGCTGGGCTTGGCTGGGGTGAATTACCGATACCGTACTAGTCAAACCAACTCGAGGAGGACTTGGGTTGACCGGGGAGGCATGCGGCATGCGGAAGCACAGGAGGGGGCGTGCCTGGTGCTGACTGCACCCTCCGCAACCTCCCTTCCCTTCGCCTCCTTGCTTGGTTGCAGCCACCATAACCACCGTATCCCCTCCCTGCACAGCCCTCGCTCCGCCCCTCACCCCTTCACCCCTCCCCCCCATCATGACGCCTGCTCACACGGTCCGTTACCGGTAGTTGTATGTCCCTCTTCACCCCTCCCACCCCCCCCGCAGCTCTGGGTCTGCGAGCCGCGCTGTCCGCCCGCTCGCACCGGCGCGAGGTGATCCTCATGGCCACTGACAGCGAGCGGCTGCTGCCCGCAATGCAGGTGGGGGACAACGGGGCAGGGGCGGGGGTGGGGGGTGTTGTCTCCACCACCCTCGCGGCTCACCTGTATTGCATGCCGTCCTCTCCTTACCCCCCCACCCCACCCCTCCCCCTCCCCCGCCCTCCAGGCCGTCTCCAACCTAGCCCGCTTGGGTCTGGAGCACGTGCTGATGCTGGGTCCCAGCGGCCCCGACTGCGTGGCACGTGTGGCGCCCGCGCTGCCCTCCTGCGGCTGCGTGTGGTTGGACTGGGAGCTGCCGGTGGTGGGGGCGGAGCGGGAGTGGGTGCCGGCGGCCGTACCCATGTGGCACAACAGGTGTGTGTGTGTGGGGGGGGGGGGGTGCGTGGGGGAGGGGAAGGGAGGGGAGGGGGAGAAAGAGGTGCACCCCGGTACTGCTCTGCCGGTAATGTACGGCACCCCAGCACACGCTACGGTACGGCACCCCTTACTAACGCTACGGTACGGCACGATACACACCCCGGTACGGCTCCCCCCCACTCATTCCTCCCACCCCCCAGGTACCGCCTAGCAGCTCGCATCGTACGACAGCGCTACAACGTCTTCTTAACCGACACGGACGTCATCTTCTTCGACGACCCCTACCTCTACTTCAAGCAGCCGCCCTTCTCCAACTTCACCATCATCAACCAGCCCGAGCTGCTGTACGAACAGGCGGATTACGGCAGGGAGCGGGACCCCAATGGCGGGGTGCTGTATGTGCAGAATGCGGCGCCGGATGGGCCGGCGGCTTGGCTGTTAGCAGAGGTGGTGGACAGGTGGGCGCAGGGGGGCGGGGGAGGTGGTGGAAAAGGGGGGAGGAATGGAAGGATACCCGATGGGGTGAATGGGGGTAGCAGAAAAGCCGATGAGGGGAGGGGGGGAGGTCAGAGGGAAAGCTGGGAAACCAAACCACAAATGAACCCGCAAGCTGGTTCACATGTGGCGTGCGGAGGGGTGGAGGAGGAGGAGGGGGAGGAAGAGGGATTGGGTGGGAAGGACCCATGGGCCCAATGGGTCCCAGACCGTCGACTGTCTCCCCTGCTCCACCCCTCCCCTTCCCTCCTGAGGGTGGGCTGGGATGGGCCGGGTTCAATTAGCAACCTGTGGATGCGCCTTGTTATTCAGTTCGTCAGTTTTCCTTATTTTTACCCCTCCTGCCCCCTCACCCTCACCCACCCCCACCCCCACCCCTCCCAGGCTGCTGCGGTGGATTGACGACGGCTTCTCCCTCACCCGCACCACCCACTCGCTGGCCACCTGGTGCAACTACATGGACCAGGACGCGCTGAGGGATGCCATCAGCAGCGTGCGGCTGGGTGGGTGGGTGGGTTGGGTGGGGGGGTTGGCTGGGTTAGGTTTGGGGGTCAGTGGGTGGGTGGGGGGGTTCAAAGAGCATACCGAACCAGGGAGAAAGGGGGGGGGAGGCAGGGAGGGGCGGAGGGAGGGGAGCGAGGGAGGAGAGTCACGAGGCGGCTCCTCCCGGCCCGCCCCGCATGTCCTCCGCCCACGTTCCAGAGCCTCACGCGCCTCCACCTGTCCTCCCCCCCACACACCCCATCCCTGCCGCCCCCCCCCACCCCCCAGGCCGCCTCTTCTTCGCCGCCAGCATGCGCGACTGCCGCACGGGGGAGTGGCGGGAGGCGCATGCAGCGGAGCATGAGGCCATCCTGGCGGCCATTGACAGCCTGCTGGAGGGGGACGGGAGCAGCGGGAACAGCAGCAGCAGCGCGGTGGAGAGCAGCCGGGTGGAGCTGCCAGCGGAGATGAGGGCGGCGGCGGGCGGGGTGGAGAGCGTGGAGATCAGGTGTGAAGGGGGTGGGGGTGGGAGGTGGAATGGGGTGGGGAGAGGACTTGGTGGGAGGGGGGAGGGAGGCGGAAGGGTGGTGCTGGGAGGGGGCAGTGGCCGTCAGCAGCGGTCGTAGCAACGTGGCCCCCGCCGATACGTCATATGCACCCCCTTCCTCCATGTACACCATGCACCCCCTTCCTCCATCACGCCCGCCTACATACGGCAATTGCGAGGAACCCCATAAACACTGCCGCCCCCTCCCGCCTCCCCCTCCCCTTCCCGCCTCCCGCCTCCCCCCCCCCCCCAGGCATTTCCTCATGCGCCTGCCCACCTACACCCCCTGGGACCCCGCCTACGGCCCCTACCTCTACCCCGCATCCCGGGGGCAGCTGTCGACCCAGTGGGTGGAGCAGCTGCGGCGGGAGTGCGAGTGAGGCGGAGCGGAAGGGGGGGAGGGCAGGAGAATAGCCAAACCGAGGGGGGAGGGAGGGGAGGGGAGGAAAGGGCGTGGAGGTGATGGTGGAAAAGAAAGAAGAAAGAGGACCGAGAGGGATGAGAGATGAAGGAAGCGAGGGGGGGCTTCCCGTGCCTTTCCCCCCTTTGTACACGCATGTTCCCATTGGTCTGGTAGTGCAACAACACGCTGCTGTGTGTTTCGTGTAGCGCCCTGCACCCCAACCTGATCCCACACCCCCCCCCGTTCCCCCGCGCTCCCTTCCTTACCCCTGCCATCCCTTGTCTTCCCTCCCTCCCCCCCACCCCAGCTGCCCCCTCTGGCCTGACCCCTCCGACCCCACCTCCGCCAATACCACCTCCTCCACCTCCTCCTCCACCTCCACCACCTCCACCACCCGCCCACCTGCTGCTGTGGAGCGCTACCTGCTTGCTCCGCCCTTCCTGGCTCTCAACTGGTTCGCCCGGGGCCGGCTGGGGTACTGGCACCGCGGGCTGACCCCGGGGGGGGCGCCGCAGCAGGTGCTTGGCCACCTTCACTACATACCAGGTGGGGGGCAGGGGGGGCAGGGGGGAAAGAAGAATCCCAATGTGTTAAATGATGCTAGCAAACAAGCGGACGAGGGGGGGGGGTAATACCTAATGAAAGAATACCCAATGTGTTGGGCAGGGGGAGAGGGGAGGGAGGAGGGAGGAGGAGGGAGGCAGGTAGGGGGCAGGAGGGAGGGCAGCACGTGCCCTCACCCCTCCCTTCTACACCTTACTCCGCCTCCTGCCACATACACACACACCCACATGCTCCTACGCGCGGCCATTTTCCAAGCATACACACCAATCCCCCCCCTCCCCTCCCTCCCCTCTCCCCTCCCCAAGGCACCTCCACCCCGGTGGGCAAGGCGGTTGTCCGCATGGCGCTGGGGCACTACGATTGGGGCCTGGCGCGGCGGGTGCTGGGGCCGCGCATGTACTTCCTGCACCAGGTGTGTGGAGGGGGGGAGGGGGCTGGGACCACGCACTTCCTCATCCCCCCACCTCTCTTTCAGCTCCGCATACACGATCCACTCATTCACTCACCTTGCTGATCTCCGTCACCTCCCTCCCCCCCTCCCGACCCTCTTACCTCCATCCCTCCCCCCTCCCTGCCCCTCCCTCCCTCCCCTCCCCTCAGGGCTCCCCCTCCGTCCAGCCCGGCCACCCCTCCCAGCCCGGCGGCCTGCCTCCCCTGCACCTGCTCGCGCCCCACCCCGCCCTCACCGCCGCTCTGGGGGCGGCGGGCAGCTGGCGGGAGGTGCGCGAGGTGCTGGCAGGGCTAGCGGCGGTGAGTGGGTGGGGGGGAGGGAGGGGTGGGTGAGGGGGTGGGGGGGAGGGAGGGGTGGGTGAGGGTGGCATGAGGGAGGAAGAAAGTGATATATAGAAAAACTAGCGGCGGTGGGTTATAACATGCCGGCCCGCTTGTACTTCACATCAGAAGCACTTCGTCGACCGTCGACCGTCTCCCTCACCCCTTCGCCCCCCTCCCTCCTCCGCCTCCTTCCTCCACCTCACGCAGACCGCGTATGCGCTGCGCCGCGTCCCCGTATGGCCCGATGCGCCCTGCAGCGCCCCCTGGATAGCCGGCGAGGGAGGGGCGCAGGGGGCCGCCTCGCTGCCTCTCAGGATACGGCAGGTGAGGCGGGAGTGGGTAGATGGGTAGTGCGTAGGTGCTTCCCCCACCCATGCCCCATGTAACCCCCTCCCCCGCTAGCTGACCCTCTTCCACACACACAGCGTGGCCAGCAGCTTGGGTTCCGTAACGCGCAGTGCGGATTATCCATCGCCCTAACACTCCTCTCCCCTCCCCGCCCCGCACCACTCCTGCACCCGTGCACCACCCAGGAGTTCATCCCCTACGGCCGCCGCCCCGGCTCGCTGTCCTGCGTGTGGCTGCCGCTGCTGCACGAGCCCTGTTTGTACGGCGGTCGGGGCATGCTGGCCCTGGAGTTTGCGCACTGGAAGCATGGCCGGCGACTGAGCGGGGTGGTGGAGGCGGGGAGGCACAACACCATTGGATGGACGGCGGGTGAGGCTGGGAGATGGGGTCAAGGAGGTGCAGGGTCAGGGGCGCCACACATGTTTACAAGGTGCCTACAAGGTGTTCGCCACCCGGGGGTTAGAAGCCTTCTGTACCCGCCCTTGAAGTGGGTTCTGAGGTAAGAGGTTAGAGCTATGGTGTTTGGGTTGCATCCTTTCAAGTCCTCCTCGAGAGGTGTATAGCTAGGCAACCTAGCTAGGGTTGCCAAGCAGCCTGGCATGGGGTGCTCTGTGTCACCTTACACGCCCCTCCGCCGTCCCTCCCCCTCGAGCAGCCGAGCTGGGCCCCTCCGTTCCGCCCTCCAACTCCACTCCCACGTCCCGCATCTTCAACGTGGCGATGGACGAGGTGGCTCGCGCCTGGTCGCTTAGGAGGACCCACATGCACAGGTGGGGGGGGGGTAAATAGGGAGGAAGGTGTGTAGGGGGGGGGGTAAAAGAAATTCCATTTCCGGGTGGTGGTGGGGGGGGGGGGGGAAGAGGAAGGGGCGGAGGACTGAGGGGGGCGGTTGGGATCCGTCCGGTAAGATGGGGCGGGTAAGATGTTATAGCGGGGTTATTCGTAACAGGTGTCTGGGTGGACGTGATGGCGAGGGCTGATGTGGAAAGTCGGCCAGATTTCGCACAGGGCTGGATGCGCACAACTGCTATCCAACTCCCATTTGCCCGCCCTAACTTGTTCGCTTCCTATGGTTTGGTATGGCCTTTAATCCCCCCTCACCCCTCTCCCCTCACCCCTCTCACCCCCTCCCCTCCCCAAGGGTACTGTACCTGCTCAACCCGCTCAATGTGACCTCCCCCGCGGGGACGGACGAGGACGTTGATACTCGCGCCGCGCTGTCGGAGTGCAAGGCAACCAACCCGTATGAGATAGAGCAGGTGGGGGGAGGGCAAGATTATGCCGGTACCAAACCCACGCTGGGGGGAGGGGGGGTGCCGCACTCAACCGAGCCGCTAGGGGGGTCCAGGGCCGCTAAAGGCTTGGCGTTGCTGCTGGGGTGGTAAAGGTTTGTTGAGGAGTAAGCGCTTGACATGAGTTTCTGTCCTTCCTCTCGAACACCAGCGATCACCGAAGCCTCACCGCTCCACCGCCCCCCCGCCCTTACATGGAATTATCCCGACATGTAACAGGACCTTCTTGATAAGCCGTACAGTAACGGTACGACCACAACCCTGAACTTCATTCCAGCATCCATCAGCCGCGACGGTATCATCCGGCCCGCGGCAGCCATCCCAGGATACAACATACCACTGATGCCGGCGCCTGTGACAGCGGCAGCGGCGGCGGCAGCGGCAGCGGCAGCGGCGGAGGCTCATAATGGTACGATAGTTGCTGACGGCGGCGGCGCCGCCGCTAACAGTACGACGGGTGGCTCCGTCGGCGATACGAGTGGTACGGCCGACGGAGGCGCCGTGGCGTCACAGGTACCTGCTGCGGCGACGTCAAGAGTGGCGGTGGCGTTAGGTACGACGGCAGTTGGGGCGTCGTCGGGGGAGGACAGTGGCGCTGCCGGCACGACAATACCCGCCGCCACCAGCGGAAATCGCGGCGTCACCGCCGGTTCTGAGGCCACCTCTGCCTCTGGCGGCTCCCTCACCGTCACCAACACCAACGCCAACACCAAGACCACCTCCGGAACCAACTCAGCCATGGAGACAAGCACCGCCGGCAGCAGCAGCAGCAGTAGCAGCACCAGCACCGCCGGCAGCACTGCCACGGGTGTTGATTCTGAATCAACAGCAGCAGCAGTAGGGCTTGCAGCAGCAGCGGCAGCAGCAGCAGCAGCAGGAGGTACGACAACCGGAGGCCTCAACACTGACATCTCCGCCACCTCTGGTGGCACCGTTGCGGCTGCTGCTGCTGGAGCCTCTGAGGCCTCTCATGGAATATCCGCCGGTTCTACGGATACTGCTGCTGCGTCGGCGGCTGCCGGGACCGGGGCCGTCATAAGGGGAGGTGCTACTGGGACAATGACCGGAGGAGGTGCCACTGCCGGGACCATGACCGGAGGAGCTGCCACTGCCGGGACCATGACCGGAGGAGCTGCCACTGCCGGGGCCATGACCGGAGGAGGAGGAGGAGGTGCTGCGGAGGACACAGCGGCGGCAGCAGCAGCCGCCACTGCTGTCCGCATGTCAGCGGGTGCGGGAGAAGTGGCCACGGAGGACATGGGGGGAACAGCGGGAGTGGACGCTACCGCGGCTGCTGCGGGTGCGGGTACGGCTGGTGCGGGTGGGGTTACGAGCAGAAGCATGACAGCGTCTGCAGGCACGGGCGCCTTTCCTCATGCTGACCACCACCGTCGTGCAGGATGGTCGGGTGCTGCCATGGGTGTGTCTGAACGGGCAGCGGAGGGCGCGGGGGGTGCGGGGGGCGCGGAGGGTACAGGTGTCATGGGGGCAGCAGGCAGCGGGACAGGTGGAGGCGCCACCGGGGACCGCGTGACGGTCATGGATGCATGGGGAGGGGGTGCAGCAGCTAGGGGAGGATCAGGGATGGGGGCCCGGAAGGCATTGGGTGTAGGCTGGGGCGGGGGCGGGGCGGGGGCGGGTATGGGTATGGGTACGAACGCTTTGGGAGGAGGGCGTGTAGGTACGGCAGAAGGTGGTAGGGCTCGGGGTGTTGGGTTAAGGGGGGTGTGGGCGGCGGGTGCGGGCGGGGTGGGTGGCGATACGACAACAGGGGCGGGTGTGGTGGAGGGTGTTGGCATGGGCGTTGCTGAGGGTGCAGGGGCAGGGGAAGGTGTGGAGGTGGCGAGGGTGAGCAGCAGGGGTGCAGGGGTCGCAGTTACCAACACGGGGGTAGCTGGAGATACGAGTGCTAGAGTTGTGGCGGGTTCACAGGTTGCGGCGGGTACTGCGGGCTCCGGGAATGCCGGTGGCGACATTGCTGTGGGACCATGGGGCAGTGGCAGGAGGGCTGCGGGGACAGGAGCAGGAGCAGCTGCTGGGGATGTGTGGGGCTGGGGGGGCAATGCGGTGGTGTAGAGGAAGGGGCCGTTTGAGTTCGGTGCTGCACATGCTGGGTTTACGGGTACGGCAGCTGCCCTTGGGGCGGCCAGCAGGGGCACTGTCTTGCATGCATGTCGTGTGTGTGCGAGTGCGTTTCACCAGGGGTACTGCCTTGCATGCCGGGCTGATGTCAATGCAACACAGCATTGCAGTTGTCTTAGATATTGAGGGTCGGGCCAGGGCTTCTGGTGATCCATGCGATACACATGAGGGTAAACGACAACGAATGAATATCGCGGTGGATATGTGTGACTATATGTGTGACTTTGTTGTGGTGATATGCATTTTGTTGATTGCATGGATTCCGTGACCTAGGATGGTACCTGCTGCAAAAGCTCAGGGTGTCATAAGCTGCTAGCACTGCCAGGCCCTGATCCCTAACATCCCCATCCTAACCAAGGCGTGCTTGCGATATATGTTGTGTATGCGTTTAAAGATGTTGTTGTCATAACCTTTAGTCATTAGTAGTTGGGTTTTGGTGTGTTTCGTTTGGCAGGTTTCATTGCCGGCATTGCCGGTTGCCAACTGTTGTTCAATGAGACCAGGGGCCATTCCTAGTTACGGTAATCATTGGCCAGGCCAGGGCCCTTCCTTCAGCGTTGGCCAGCAGACAGTTCCTTCCTAAAGGGCTCAACACATGGGCCCAACACATAGCGCTTTCACTTACCTGCAGGGAGTTTACGTCTGTCATTACGAGGCCGGCATGCAGCCAGGACACCCGGGATCCCGGGTTGGGAAGCAGCCCTACGTGCCCTGCTTGGCACACGGATACCCCACAGAGCAGAGCCTCACCTGTCCTGCGGTCTAGAGAACTTGTGTGGCTGATTGGGATTTCAAAGCTACCTAAAGGAGCTTTCTCCGTGCGTACCAGTGCCGCCATCGTTCACACAGGACCTGCCAGAAGTAGTTTCGGAAACGCACATGCAACCCTCATCCCTTCGATGCGCACGTGTAAGATACTGCAGTAACTTTCAATTGCGTGAGTCACTTGGCGTAAAGCTCAACTGTTGCAGTGAGAATGCCAGATACCAAAACCTGTACGATACCTTACGATGCACACCGTTAGCCGTTATTCGAAGACCAAACTGTAAAGCGCATCTTCTACATACTTCCTAGCTATATAGCGAAAGACGTATAACACCTGACACTGGGGATCTTTAGGATTTCGCTCGTGCCCCTTGGTCAACACAGTCGCAAACACGAAGACAAATTTTGCACTGCGATACAACGACGGTAATCGCTCAGAGGCTTGTATGTTTCATGAAGTGAATTACTATGTCTTCGCCAGGGAATAGCGGGGAAGAGCCATCACAGCGGCAAATTGACATCGCGGATTTACTTAGAGCTCTAAGCGTTTCAGCATCCGACACGCTGGTCACTGAGCTAAGGGCCTTACGATGCCTTGGAGCTGCTCGCCAGGCATGCCGAGCCCTGCGAGACATCATCGACGGCAGCCTGCGAGAGCTTCATTTGACCGTGCGCACCGCTGACTACGAAAGGTGAAAAGATGGCCGCCATCCCTTCTCCTGGCGCTGGCCCCGTTGCCATTCCTTTGAAATTACTTACAACGTCGACCTTCATTTAAGGCCCTCCGATGTCGCGGGCCTGCTTGTGCTCCCTTTTGCCGCTATGGGGGACAAGCAGTGCATCAGGTGCCTTTGTTTGGCTGATGCGGTGAACAGTGCCATCCCGGACCCTGAGGGGGTAGTAGCAATGCTCGTGCACCACCTGCCTGGGCTGCGGGAGCTTACCTTGCGGTGCTGCACCGAGATGTCTTACGAGCCGTTTGCACAGCAGCTTATGTTTCGCAGCATTCGGGCATCCCTGCCGCAACTGGAGCGGCTCGTGCTCCCCAGCTGCTTCGCATTGGAGTACGTGGGGATGCTCGGCAGCAACCTCAGGAAGCTGGAAGTGGTTGAGGGTGATGCCTGTGCAATCCACATCGACAATAAGAGGGCGACTTCGGTGGCAGAGCTGCAAGCACTAGAGGAACTCAAGTTTGCCCACTGCGCATTGGAGGATTACATGGCCATCGACCGTGAACACCACACACCGCTACGGCAGCTGCTGTGCAGCCTGCCGCCCTCCCTTCGAAGGCTGCAGCTGGAGCACTGCACGGTTAAATCCGGCACGGGCGGGCGGCACACCGCGAACGCGGATGTCCATCTGGAGGCTGGCAACATCACATCCATAGTTCTCAACCCCAACGTGACGGGGACCTTGTCACTGCGGCGTCTTGCTGAGCAAGGGTTTTTTGCAAGTTTAGCAGACAGTCAAGTAGCACCTCGGCTGCAGCAGGCGCGGCTGCGAATAAAGCACTTGGACATTGATAACGATGAGCCTGTGGCAGAAGCGGATCTCCAGCCTGTGCGGTCCGTGCTGCGGTGCTTTGCGAAGGTCGAGGTTGAGTCAATCTGCCTGGTCCGGCGCAGGACCTCTCTGGCCGCCGTACGGCAGGCTCTTGCCATGCTGTGTGGGGCTGAGCCGGAAGTCCTCTACACGTTGCCGGTCAAACAGAGCGCAGATGGCATCATGTTCTGTCGGGATGGGTTCAAGCTCCAACTGTTGCAAAGGCCGCACCCGGAACAAGCAGTTGGGGAGCGGCAGGAGCAGCAGGCGTTCCCAGCAGCAGCCACATCACAGCCACTGGCGCTGTTCCCGTCTCGAAAAGACCTGCTGCAACACGTGCTGCAGCGAGTAGTGGCAGACTCGCCTTCAGAAGCACCGGCAACGAGCTTCAGCAACGCCGGGACTGGGCGCTCCTCAGTTGGGGTGCTGCTGCAGGGTCCCTTGGTGGCCATGCTTACCCAGGGGCGGGTCTTGGTTAAGAGCTGGATAACGACGCTCCTAGAGCGGACTGAGGGCATGCATTACACCCTTCGAAAGGGGCTCATGTACTGGGTGCTGACCCCGGCCGCGGCGGTTGTTCTCGATGCGCCCAACAAGGTGTTGGCGCGAGCGATTGCGGAGGCGGCAAGTGTGTTGGCTGAAATGGCGGGGGCGGTTGGTTCCCTGCGGGCAACGGTGGTAACGGTGGAGGTGCCTCCGATGTTCGTTAGCTCCTTTTCGGGCGTCGTTTCAGGAGATGTGTTGCCCAAGGTGTGTCTTTGGATTCCTAACAGGGGCATTCTTGACAGGAGGCCACGCTAGATTGGGTGTTTAATGCACATCATGCGTCTTTTCACTTAAGCGTTTTGTTTGCCTCTACAAGGGGCTTGGATACACCAAGAGGCATGTATGAAAGGTGCTTCAATCTAAGAGCCAGGAGGACCGTTTGCACCTGCCATCTTAGCTACCTCCACTCGATCCATGTCACACCATGCACTGTACGGCCCTGCCCTGCTGCTGCGGTCCGTCTTCCGCAGGTGGTCCAGGAGGCGTGGGACGCCGCGGCCCCGCAGCCCGGCGAGGCCGGCGGCAACATCGGCTGGCGGCGGCTGGAGTGGCTGCTGGGGCTGAGGGAGGGGCTGCTCGTCTTACCTGAGAGGGAGGCCCTGCACCCTTCATGAGTGCAGCAGCACCCGGGGCGCGGGACGGCAGGCAGGGAATGGCAGGGAGTGGATGGCAGGCAGGGAACGGCTGGCAAGGAATGGAGGCAGCCTAGAGCTGTGCATGAAGGTGCCAGGATGCGGGTGTTAGGGCGCAGGGGTAGGTTGCGCGACATTGTTTCACAGCGCGGCAATGTTGGGACGAACAGTTCTGTGTCTTGACATGTAGGTCACATGTAATGCTTTTTGCGTGTTGTGGGTGTTGGTGGCGTGGGGACATGGCTTGCTGCATTTGAAAGGCTGGTGTCCTGGTTGGCTCGTGCTTGGCAGGGGCTTGTCGTGGCAACAGCCGTAGGTACGGCCGTTTCCGTTTAATAGGTTGCGGTGGGGTAACGTTGCGGGGTACAGCTGCTGCCAGATGAGTGGCGGGCTTCGCATGGGCGGGCTGCGGTCACATGTAGCATGTTTTGGTCTACAGCTTGCAGCCGTACGTGCCGTGTAAGAACATTGGCACGACCATTAAAGCACTTACGGTAGCAGCTGTACGTGTCGGGGCATACCGGTCCAATGGTCCTATGTAGGCAAGTGGCCGTAGGAACGTATACCGGTAAGCTGACTCATAATAAACCATCCATGTAAACCGCCTCTTTAGTCCTCGCTCGGGCTGCCTCTTGCATGACTCCTGCATCCTATCACTGCGGCCTCCGCTTGCCTTCCTGCGCCTTGCGCTGCTTCCCCACCAACGCCTCAACACACGGTTCCTCCCAACCTCCCCCACACCGCCACCTCTTCTGCAGAAGCCCTGTCCAAACCCAGCGCAATCTACAGCTCACTACAATTTCAACGCTGCGGCTTTGCCGCCATGAACACATATGACGCTTTCACCGCTGACACCTACACTGGTACTTTACACAGTCTTATAAATTATATAATTCTCTGATAGCTGATTTTGAAACATTTCTGAAAAGTTTCAACAGTAATAATGAGACGTTCCACCCACATGACGTCACCCCTGCTAGCGCTGCTGCCGTCATGACTTGTGATGTCGCCCCTGCTGCTGCTACTGCTCCCATGCGTTCACCGCCCCTGCTGCTCCCACGACGTCACCCCAGCAGCTACCCCTGCTGCTGCTGCTGCTGGTCCGCCAGCCGCTGCAGGAACTCCCGCAGCGACAGTCCCTCCACGTCGTCGCGCTGACACATGGGGCAGCGAGGCTGCGGCAGACCCGCCCAACACGCGTTGCCTGCGAGGAGAAGAGAAGGGAGGTCAAGAGAGGGACAGGCGGGGACGTGGGAACGAGTACGAGAAGCAGGATGCGGTATCACGACAGGATCCCCTTCCAAATCAATCATTTCCAGAACCCCTGCCCCTCTCAGTCGCCTCCCCTGCGACCCAAACCCCCCCCCCCACCGCTCAAGTGTGCGTGCTGCTTCCCCCAGCACCCCGCACCACTTACACAGCGCATGGAAGGGCCCCGCCAGACTGAGCACCGTGCAGGACATGAGGCTGGTGCTCCTCGGCCCAAGCTCCTCCAGACACACACAGCAGTCCGGTTGCTCTACTGCTAGCGCGGCTTGGAGAGCCCGCAGCGGGTCGGCAACAGGGGCGACTACGGCCGCTGCTGCTGTTGTTGCTTGTAAGCTTGGAGGTGCAGCTGTAGCTGCTGCTGCGGCTGCGCTGCTGCCGCCATCCAGCTGCTGTTGCTGCTGTTGCTGTTGTGCCGCTTGTTTCTTAGCCTTCCGCTTGTTGCGTTTCTTCTTGTTGCGTCGCGCTGCCGCTGTGGATGGCGATGACCCATCCGCAGGGGCGGGTGTTGAGGTTCCAGCGCCCGCGTCCGCACCCCTGTGGCTGCTGCTGCTGCCGCCAGCGCCGCCGTCCTGCGTTTCAGAGCCGTCGCCGGGGGCTGCTGCCGCCGTGCCAAGAGCTACTGCTGCTCCAGCTCCCTCCAACTCATCGTCCTCCTCCTCTTCCTCCTCGCTTTCCTCTTCCACCGTAGCAGGAGCAGCAGCGGAGGGCGGAGAAGCCGCCACAGCGGGGCCTGGGGCTGCGGAGGTTGCGGCAGTGGTGGTGGCGGCGGTGGTGGTGGTGGCATCCTGGACGGAGATGGAGAGCTGAGCTACACCTGCAGCATACAGCAAACAGCAGCAGCAGCAGCAACAGCATCACCGCCAGGTTAACCAGGGTAATCACCATAAACAGTAGGTCATAGCACTCCAGGAAGCACTCCACACGGCGGTTAGCCTAATCCTAGCAACGTAGCAGGCGGAAGCCGTACACATGCACGACAGGCCAGCGTACGACTACCCAGGGCACCCAGCACCGCGCGTGTCATGTCACCTGCCAGCATCAGGCGCCGCAGCACCTCCATCCACCCGAGCACCCGCCACAACACCTGACGGACTAGCAGCAACTGCAGCCCCCTCAGCAGCAGCAGCAGCAAGCCCCGCGGCGCCCCCCTGGCCGCCAATAGCTCACCCTGCGTAGCTCTCCTGATGCCGCCGGCAGCTCCACTCTCTCCACCACCGTCAGCAGTAGCCGGGGCAGCAGCAGCAACAGCGGCGGGGGCAGCAGTAGCGATGACGGCGGTGGGGGCAGCAGCAGCAGCAGCAGCAGCATCAGCGGGATGGACCTCCGGAGCTGCAGCGGCCGCTGGCTGAGGCTGAGGCTGCTGTGGCGGGGGCTGTGGCGCCTCCTGCTCAGGCGCTGCTGCTGCTGCTTCTGGCGCTTGTTGCGGCGCAGGCGGCTGCGGTGGAGCCGCCGGCTGCGGCGGCGGCTGTGGCTGTGGCGGCAGCGGAGCCGGCAGCGGTAGCTGGGGCAGCGGCGGCGGCACAGGCATGAGGGGAGTGCCGGCTAGGGCTGCCCTCGCAGCTGTGGGTGCTAGCCGGGGGTCGAGAGTGGTGAGGCCACGAGAGGCGAGCAGGCGGTTGTAGTAGCTCATCAGAAGCGGGCATGCAGCCTGGAGGGGGAGGACACCGGTAGCATTGAGGACGTTGGTGACCCATTTAACTTACTCATGTGGTTCTAGAAGGCTTGCGGGCGGATAATTTACAAACCAGTTGAGGAGAGCGTGAATCCGTAACGATGGGACAGCGACAACTGCATGGCCTCCGCAGCAGCTTCAAGACGGGTCTCCATTGGATGCCGTTCAAGCCTTCATGCCATGCCCTCACACGACCTCCGCCCCAACACCTATTGAACGTGGAGGGCATGCAAGGCCCACGGGCCGCCCCCCACCTGCATGCTTCTCCCCGTCCACCCGCACAGCTGCTGCAGCGATCCCAGCACCAGCCACACGCCGCGCTGGACCAGTGGGTGGTCTAGGGTCGCACGGCAGGAGTAGGCGGGCGACAACACCTGGCAGATCTGACAACGCAGGGAGAGTGGGAGGGAAACAATTATGATGTGTGCAGCAGCGAGTCCCAATCCCATATTCCGACTCATGCAGTGGGTGAGGGAGGAGGGAAGGAACTGTAAGTATGGGAAAGCCATGCATGGGAGGAAAGGGTAATGGGTTGTAAACGTATAGGGGGGTGTACGGTGAAGGACAGGAGCAGCAGCAGCAGCAGCTGCTGTCCTTTTGACGTTGAAGACTGACAAGCACCCACCTGCTATTCAAAATCCCACAGCAAGGCCCCGTTATCCCGGGCGCGCCACCCAAATCGTGCAACCGATGCGTGATTCAGCAGCAGCAGCAGCAGCTAGCAATCCAGTATCGCTATGGGCTCACCTGCCTCTCCGCCTTGTCCACGAGCATACCCGCAAGGGGCTGCGAGTAGGGGTTTTGCGCCGGCGGACCGTTGGCGCCGAGGACCGCCAAGGAGTGCTGCATGCGGGGGCGGAGGGGGAGGGGTGACAAGGGGGTTGGCCCAGGGAACCGAGTGGGGGAGGGGTGACAAGGGGGTTGGCCCAGGAAACCGAGTGGGGGATGGGTGACAAGGGGTTGGCCCAGGAAACCGAGTGGGGGATGGGTGACAAGGGGTTGGCCCAGGAAACCGAGTGGGGGAGGGGTGACAAGGGGGTTGGCCCAGGAAACCGAGTGGGGGAGGGGTGACAAGGGGGTTGGCCCAGGGAACCGAGTGGGGGAGGGGTGACAAGGGGGTTGGCCCAGGGAACCGAGTGGCCGGTTTCGGAGAGGAGCGAGGAAGGAGGGGTGTCAGGGTTGTGGCATCAAGGAACCGAAGGCCGTGATGAGGGATGACGCAAGCGGAGTGTGCGTGGGGACAGCAAGCGAATGGTTGCGGTACGAGATGAGAAGGCACGGGATGAAGGACGTACACATCATCAGGTGCAACACCCTCATTCATAAACCCCATGCAGCCCACTACAGACTAGTACTGCTGTGCAGGACTGCCCCTGCACGGCCCCCACCTGCACCGCCCCATCCGCCCACACCAGCCCCAGCAGCTGGTAGTCCAGTGACACGGGCACTCCGCAATCGAACGCCAGGTCGTCGGGGTAGGACATCGGGCCCTGCCGGGAGGTGGTGCGGCGAGAGGGGGCATGTGAAAGGATAGCAACATCCTCGCCCCACAACAACACACCGGTATTCCTTCCTCTTACATTAACTGGGTTGCCAAGGAAGTGGTGGCTGCCCGACGGACCCCACCGAATGCTCTCCTCCAGCTGCACCTGCTGCGAAAGCTCCGAGACTTCGGAGTCGTCGGACGCGTTGTGCGCAATTAACATAGCATGCCTGTTTGGGATTGACGGGGCCAGAGGCTAAAGGACAAGACCACGACGACAACCTTTATTGAAGAGGACTATTTAGGGGTCATGGTCTTAAAAGCGTTTTGCCTTACCAATAGGGGACGTTGATGCGGCCAGCCAGAGCCATGATGCCGGCATCCAAAGCACGCGCAGCTTCGGCAAAGGCCGCCAGGGTTGACAGCTGCCGCTCAAGCTGATCTTCGTTGAGGTCATCCTCGACCTCCAGGAATTGCTGCTGCCGGCGCTCGGTCTTGCGCTTCCACGCAAGCAGCGCCGGCACAAGCAACTTCTTCAACTCTATGCCAGCCCTAACCGCCTGTCCGCGACGCCGTAGGCGCTCGGAAAATGTTTGGGCCGCTAAGATAGCGTTCCCGCCGGCGCCTCCCGGATGTCCAGTGGCATCACTAGCAAGGCCGACCGCTCTTGTTCTGGATGCCGATGGTAAATGATCGTTTGGAAACAAGTTGATAGCGCGATGAAGGTGGGTCCTAATAGAGGCAAGTCGCTCGCGATCGTTGGTAGCGGAAATGTAATCAGCCATTTTCTACCCTTCGTGCTAGGATTGGAGCTGTATCATGTGTTTGGTTAGGTAATCTAAGCGATCGTGCTCACGGATGCAATTCCTTCATAGGAGACAAGGCGACTTACAAACTGCTATACGCTCCATGGTTCCAGGCGTGGATTCGTTGTACAAAGGAAAGATGCTGCGATCGTGCGATGCCCGACGGCACAACTTAGGGAGTTTATACATACCGTTGCGTTGTCTTTGCATCGTGCTAATCAGCTCTTTGGGTCGAGATAAGGTCACGGAGTTCACATACCGGTACCGGTACCGTCATAACATAAGCCGCAGCTCGCATGCCAAACCACCATGACATGTTACTATGCTTAGCCTAACAAACGCGTCAGCTCAGCAAACTGAGGCGCGGATTATTCACCATACGAAGAGCAAATCCCCGTCAGCAAAACTGCCCCTGCATGCCACACTATGCGGCAAGTCCACCCAATACCGCAAAACATACGGCAAACCCCTCGAGTCCGTTACCTGCTGCCAGACATCCTGGCATGTACACCAGCCGAGCCCACTGCATATGGAAAGCACCAGACCGCACCCATTCCTTACGCGCCATTTGTGAGGCGTCTACAGAACGTAGCCAAGAACAAATCACGTACCCTGCCCAACATGCAGCTCTCAAGGTTAGCTCTGCATGCGCACACGGGGCTTGCACCGGCCACACAATGACCTAGTATCAACACACATTGCTTCCGTCGTACATGGCCGTGCAATCGAGTTCTTGGTTTACGAGCTCTCCCTTATCCTTGGACGTGTAATACTGAAGCATGGCATTGGCACAACCCCTGTGAATGCGCAACCTGCCATGCATGTCGCCACTTCTTACGCCAGGCAACTCACCACCCCAACACACGCGTCCTGACCTGTCACGCTGCCCCCACTTTCTACCCTCCTTGATTGGTCGTCAGCGGGGAGCCCAGCCAGGGCAGTTTCTGCAGCTCCTGCCACACCCCAACCAGCCACTCCAGCCGCGTCACCAGTCCTTGCGGCCCCGACTTCGCAGCAGCGTCCCAAGCCTCCTGCAGGACCTGTACGTGCGGATTGTGGTGCCCCAAGCAGGACAACAAGCCAGCAGCATCGGCAAAACAGAGCAAAGGCGTAGAAGACATGCGCTCCAGGGCAATTCAAGGCGAGCACTACACTGCAAGCGCAGTCGTGAGAACCTGCACGCGCACGCGCCCATCCTCCATGCCGTGCGCTACCTTTACCGGTACCTACAGCCCGCCACGGATCCCACTGCAGACCCACACGTACCGCTCCAGACATACCCCGCTCCAGACATACCGACCTGCTGGAGGCCCATCGTGAGCAACCGCAGCGGTGCCCCCTCGCTGCAGCCGCTCTGCTTCAGCAGTGCCCTCCAGTCCACCGGCAAGATCCGCAGCGAGTTCGCAGCCACCCCCGCCGTCCGAACCATGGCTCCCGCCGCCTCCGCCACCGCTGCCGCCTGCCCCTTGCGGCACGTCGTGAAGATGGCGCCGCCCTCGTGAGGCAACACCCGGCAGGAGATGTGGCCGGTGCGACCCATGCCCGCAGCGGCTTGCTGCGTGCGTCGGTAGAGCTCAGCTGTCCAGCCCTTTACAAAGTCCGGTTGCTGCACCAGGAATCCCACAAAGGGGCCTGCCATCAGCAGGGAATCTGCGGAAGCCCAAACGGAGGAGCTTGCCGCAGCAACGGCAGCAGAGGTGGTTGCATTTCCAGGCTTGCTGCCGCTGAGGCTGTTATCGTCGCTAGAACTGCTGCTGCTAGGACTGCTGCAGTAGCTGCCGGCGCTGCTGGCGCCGCTGCTGCTGCCATGCACCGCCCCCCGCGCCGCCGCCTCAATCCGCGCCACCAACGCCCGCATTAGCTGCGATATTGTGGGCAATGAGAACGACACCGGCGGTTGCGGCTGCTGCTGTTGCGTTCCTTGTTCCGCTACGAGTTCCAGCCCTGCACCCGGCCCATGCATGGCAGGAGATCTCGGTCCAGTCGCTGCGCCCGCTGCTGCACCACAGCGGGATCCGGACTCAGCAACTGTCGCCAACTGAATGCGAATTCCGAAGCCGTAATTCTCAGGAGACGACAGATCAAGCAGGATCTCCCGCGGCTCCCCCAGCACCTCGAACACCTGCTGTACGACATCCAACCGCCGGTGCGAATCTGGGTAATGAGATCTGCCGTACAAATTAACGGCCTTGATCTCTACTTGTACGACACGCTGCCGCAGCTCCCGCAGAGCACTCAGCTCTGCTTCGCTGAGCGGATTTTGCCAGGCAGAGACGTCCAGCGTGAAACTCAGACACTGCAACTGTCGCCGCTGCTGCTGCTGTTGCTGTTGATGTGAGGACAGCAGGCAAGTCAACAGCCCGCCGGCCCCGGCCATCTTCCCCAGCCCCTCCAGGGTCACAGACGTGTGAAAGTCCAAGGATGAAACGCACTTGGCAATAGGGCCCATGCAAACATCCAGTCCAAAGTGCGAATTCTTATACCCGCAGTCGTTAAGTCGCAAGCGTTGCACGGAGGGCGGCAGGCTTCGCAGCAGCACCTCAAGCGTATCCGGCTTATGGCTTGCTCGAGCCGCGCCGCGAAATTCAAATCGAGTCAAAGACAGCTCAAGCAGCCCTCGGAGTGACGCTAAACCGCCTAGCACCCTGGCTTCCACGCGACTGCTGTTTTGCTCGCTTCCAACCTCGAGGAGTCTCAGGCTGCTGCTGCTGCCGCCGGCACCGCTTCCCAAGACCTCCAGGCATTCCAGAGCGCGGCAGCTTGGCAACGACAGGCGCTCTAGGTACGGCAAGGAAGTTCGCAGACTGTCGTACATGAGCTGCAGCTGGTGCGGTTGGTACGACATTCCTGCCACGTTGTGTAGCTCCAACTGCCGAAGCCCCGGCAACCTCTCAGTCAGCGTCCGCACGACTTCTTCCATGTTGTACGACGCGTTTGGGAAGTACTGGTGGAGGTGAAGGTGCGTGATGCGCTGCCTCGCCTCGAGGGATAGCCCGTGGAAGGGGCGTGTGTAGAGGTCAACGAGGGCCGAGGGTGGGATGCTGTGCAGGGCTGGATAGCCCTGTTGGATAAGCTCAAGCGAGCTACAGCGGGGCCAGCGGCCCAGGGACGGTGCTAGCTGCCGTTGCCCTGGCTCTAGGAGTAGTCGTATTTCCCGCAAACAGCCGTCGATGGCATCACGCAGGGCGTGGCAGGCGAGCCGGGCATGCCGCAGGTCTTCTTGGTCATTGGATAGGCTGGCTACGAGCGTATCTAAACCGTCGACGCTTAACTTATGAAGCACGTCGCTTATGGAAAGCTGCTCCTGATGCTGCGGTTTCGCCACTTCGCCGTCCATAATGCACGCTTACTTCGCGGTACTCCAAATTGGGCGCAGGATGTCAGGTCTCACAAGAGGAAGGCAGCCCTTTCGCAACACTGGAGACTCGTCACTTTTTGTCTTAAGTTCTTTTATTTAAGAGAAATGCGTAAGGTTAGCAAGACAATAGCAAGCTGCTGTGGTCCGCGGCAACGGGTTTCCAATACTAAAAATTAAACCTGGAACCAGGGGGGGGGTAAGAACCGCAAAAATAGACCCCAACCCTCAAATCGAAGGGGTTTTGCGTGGGGATTCCGAATCTGCTTTCAGATTTCTGTTTGGAGTTGTATGGAAAAAGTTTTGGGCTTGCAAAGTTGGTTGTACGGCAGGGGTGGGTGGGTGGGTTCAGGGCCCCAACGACTTTTTTACATGAACCTCCGGAAAATTTTTCCAGGCCTCATGTTAGGATTTTGAAAGCTGTATTGCCATCCTTTCTTCGTTTCTTATACGCAGAATTAATTCTATCAACAAAATGGTCACTTCTCGGCTTCCGATGTTCCAATGACAGTTCACCTCTGAACCACGGTAGCCAAACGGAACTGCCCAATCCCCAAACGTACAAGAAACAACTTATGTAGAAAACATATATTGCGAACGCGGCTAGTCGACCCGTTGTAAAGGCCTAGCATCGCAGCATGTCGCATGTCTCCATGGATGTGGAACACGACTGAGGATACGGGGTTGGAGTAGACAGACTGAGCTGCGAGAAAGCACTTACAGTGACCACGAATGGGGTGGGGATGCAGAGCACAGAAACAAGAAGGCGTTGGAATTGGTGCCAGGGGCTAAGGTCGAGGGCCCAGTGCCACAGGGGGAAGAAGAGGCAGGAGCAGGGGCCTGGGACGTGCGTGGTGGTGGCGTCGTGTAGGTTGGTGACAGAACTGGCGGCGGTAGGGTGCAAATGGGAGGACCATGGTGCTTCCTAGGCGCCAAATACACAACATCAGTCAAGCTGGGGCCAAGAACATGGTTACCTTAGCCGTCCATAGTGCAACGCTGTGACATTAACGTCCCAGGGGGTTTGGGGTTTTTCGACTGCATTTAATAGAGCTTGCGCAGAGGAACCTAGACGCTTTTTCCCCCGGCGTTTTGGCATAGTTTACAGGTTGTACGACACGCTTGGCGGTGGGTGGGTGGCTCCGAGGCCTTCTCTTTGGAAATTTCGGGTTGGGGTTTATAAGAAAATTTCTTACCCCCCCCCTGCTGGAACTCCGGGTAAGACTCTTACATTACAGCAATAACTAATGGCAGTATAAATGTAGGCTAGCTATGTAAACCGTGGAGAGAAGGCTATGGAGATGTGAAACGGAGTATGAGTAATACGACGCAACTGACTGGCCGGCAAAGTCGTACTTGCTCCTAAGCATACCTCGATAACAACTAGCGTGGAGTGTCGCAGCCGTCTGTGGAGCTCTTGTCTCCTTTGGCACCTTCAGCATCTTGGCGCCCTGTTGTTGCAATTCTTTGGAGGTTGTTGCTTTTCTTGTGTGCGTCTTATGGCTTTTCACCGTTGCTCTTCTGGATTCGCATACAGTAGTTGCACCAAATGCACATGGCTCAAGCGCACGTCTTAAGCCTGCGAGCTACCGTTGTAACTGGATAAAAAAAATATGACCATTAAAAGCATGTTTATATTGGGCATTGAAAAGCAGGGTCTCGGGCCAGCAAAGAGGAGATTTCGACAACAACCATTAACAAGATTTCCGCCATCCTTACCAGCTCAACCCCGTCTTCGCCTTTTCGCTCTTGTTTTGTTGCGAGCAGTTGCACGCCACACTCTTCCAAGCCTATACAACTGCAACTGCAGAGAGGCTTCCTACATAACTCTGAACCCCATAGAAATACTGACCGCCAGGCGACAGCCCAACAATGTTGTGCGGCAACCGAAATAATAGCGCCTTCTTATGCTCCCCATGCAGACTACAGCGGGGCAGGCTTCTCCATGTGTTTTCCACCCCGAGAGCCAGACGAAATGCCAGTGAATACACTCGCCCCCCTCCACCACGAAACCATACACCGTCGCTTTCAAAGCGCCTCCTGCAATGCTCCGTCAACCAAGGTCATTGACTGAGCACAACCACGAGAAACGGGAAACCCATGGAACCGCCACAACTCGCGCTGTCCTAACCAAGCCCTTTCACACGTAAACACCCATGCCTCGTCCCTCCTGAAGTAGTTGTTGCCTCGATCTCGGTCAACCCCACTCCTAGCCTCACATGAAGCATGCCGCACGCGCGTACGCTCCCTCCCACCTCCACGGGTTGCCACTATCAATACTTTTTCGTTCCCTTCCACCTTTGCCAACAGAAACCCCGCCACCTATGCTACCTATGCTGCAACCCCAGCTCCGTAAGCTCCTCTCAAAGCAGTGCTCTACAGCCAAACGATCGGCGGCATCCCCAGCCCCTCCCTCAGCCCCAGCAGCCACTCCAGCCGCCGCCAGCCGATGTTGCCGCCGGCCTCGCCGGGCTGCGGGGCCGCGGCGTCCCACGCCTCCTGGACCACCTGCGGAAGGCGGACCGCAGCAGCAGGGCAGGGCCGTACAGTGCATGGTGTGACATGGATCGGGTGGAGTCACCGGAACTACTTATGGCAGCGAAGACGAACGAGTGAGTAGTAAAGGTGCGTCAGGCTAAATGCCTGTTCGCCGGGATGTACAAGATGCCACAAGTCAGGCGCCCAGCTCCATGTATGCTGTTTCAGCGGCAAAGACGGCACATGTCCCGCTGGGCTGGGGCAGGCGTTTATCTAGGCAGCGGGTTTCCCACAAGCCAGCAACCCAGCAGCATTACGGCCTACATGCAGCTGGACCTTCATCACGGACCGCGGCTATCCTTGACTACGTTACCCCCCTCCCCTGCGCACGTACCCGTTGAAGGCTGCACAAGAAAAGGCCCCGTGGCACATTGCCGCGAGTTGCGGGCTTCAACGACAGCACCCGCGCTGAGCCAGGCGTCACCCCAGCAACCTCCAACAACGCACTTGCCGCCGCCGCAACAGCCGCGGCCTTGCCCTTCATGCAGTGCACAACAAGGCTGGAAGCAAAGGGCAGCGCATAACACGCACAGATGCACTTCCCGCTGCCTGCAGTCACCGTGGCTCGCTTGTCTACCAACCGCAGCCATTCCTGGAGGACCGCCGGCCCTTGAGTCAGCAACGCAAACGACGGGCCTTGTAGCAGAAGTAACTCGCTGTCATAGCCTGTCTGCCCACGCCCCTCGTTCGTAGCTGCTGCCTCCGGCACCGCCGTCCCAAGTGCCGTGGCGCCGGCCGTCATCCTCAGCAGTGCAGACTGAAGCAGCTCCGCGGCGCCAGGCAACTGCTGCGGCTTGGTTGGCTGCTGCTGCTGCTGCTCACACAGTGCATGGGCGCCGGTCCCTGATACGTTAATGCAGAGTGTATGAGAGTTGCCGTTGCCATCGCTGCCCCCAGGCCATCGTGTGGAGATGTCTAGCTGCAAGCTCTCGGGTTCGCCAAGCAGTTCAACTGCTTGCCGTACAGCCTCCAGGCACGTCCCGGGCTGCAGGTGAAGATCCTTCACCTCTACCCGCTCGAAGCGCCTTAGCAGCATCCGCAGGTCCTCGCCCTGCTCCTCTCCATCGTCCGCCTCGCCCTGTTCGCCCCGATCGCCTGATAGCAGGTGCGGCACGAAGCTGCTGACCCCTATGCTGGCGGCTCGTAAACACCCCAGCAGCGGCTGCTGATCCTCCTGCTGCTGCTGCTGCCGCCACTTCTCCTGCTGCCACGTCACGAGGCTGCGTAGCAGTCCGTGTCTTAACATGGCTGCAAAGTCTACCAGAGCGGTGCTACCTTGCCAGTCCGTCAGCTCCACACTCGTCACACGGCCTGCAGCCAGCCGAATCGTGGCATCTAGCTGGTCGGAGTTGGACGTCCCATTGGGCAAGTCTTCCGACATCCTGCATCCGCTGAAACGCAGGGACTGCAGCGAGGCCGGCAGGCTGCGCAGCAGCTGCCCCATCGCCCAGCAGTGGTCAGAATGCTCCTCGTCCTCAGCTTCGGCTGCCGTATTGATCGTGTCGAAGACCACATATTGTAGTTCCAGTTGTTGCAGGGAGCCCAGGTGTGCCAAGCCGCTACCGGCCCCCGCGTTGAAGCCCAGGTCTACATAGTCTGGGCAGCAGTTGACATGCAGACTTGTTAGGGTGCCGCCGCTGCCGCTGCTGCAGCCAGCGCCTCCGCCCTCCATTGCAAGAGCTTCAATGCACTTGAGCGTACGGGTGTTGGGCAAGCTGAGTCGCTCAAGGTACGGCAGAGAGGCCAGGCCTTCGTACATGACCAGCAGGTGCAGGCTTTTGTACGACAGGCTGTACAGATGGGCGAGGTTCACCTCACGGAGACCCGGCAGCCAGTAAGCCAGGAGAGCCACCACTGCCGGGCTGTCGGGCACGCAACAGCATTCCATTTCGGGTTCCTCGTCGTCTGGATCCATCGAAGGCTTTTCAATCTCCAACTCGTGGATACTTATGTGGGTGATGCGCCGTCTGGCTTCAAGAGGAAGCCCAATAAACGGCGAAGCGAATATCGCTAATGCCTCTGCGGCGTCTAGCTCGTCATGAGCCGCTGCATAGTCGAACTTAACCGTGCTGCAGCGAGGCCATCGCGCGAGAGACGGCAACAGCCCTGCATTCAAGACTTCCAGGTCTGCGAGCCTGACTTGAAGGCTAAGCTCCCGTACGCTGCTGTCGACGGCTTTGCGAAGTGCTCGACACGCAAGTCGGACCGCACTAAGGCAATAGCTGCGTGCCCAGTAGTCAATCATCGCATCCAACGCTGAAGATTCGAGCTCTGATATTACGGCAATGATGTTGGACCCTTGCTTGGCACGGCCTGTCAGATTGCTGGTGGTTGCCATGGCGCGCTTTGCAAGGATTGCGCCCACGACGCTCGAAGGAACGCCTATATGTGCCTATGCAACCAAACGGCTGGCGGTTTGTTGCAACATGTAGTTTTTCGTAAGCGTTAACTGCCTTAGCGGGAAAACGTTTGCGTTGCTACCTCAGTGGGCATTGCTAAACTTCACGGAGTTGTTAAGCGCAGCTGCCTATATATGTTCCAACAATAACTTAACTAACGCGGTAAAGGTTTCCTTTACCTGTGTAAGGAGCGCGAGCTTCAGCAGAGACAGGGGTAGGAGCACTCTTGCGACATTCATGCTCTGCGCGCTATGCTGGGTTCCGTACATGAGCTGCTTACTCCAAAGCCGGTTATGGCTAAACTGAACTCGTAATGTATAACAGGCCTCTACAAAACGCGGATGTCCCGCATCACTGTTCAGCAATGATAGGCCTGGTAAGAACACCTGCTTTCCGCTCATCGCCCCTTGCAGTTCGCGCCTGCGGCAACTGCACTCATTCCTTGACGAGAATTGAACCAAGGTCCAGATATACTAACTGCCAGCGGGCCCATGACTTTCACCAGGACTCGCCCTAATGGCTCCCCAGCTGCCGCCAACCCTGCATCCCCCTATAGCCCTAGCCGCCATGCGCGCTAGCATGCGTGACATTAGCTCCGCTTCCACGCCTTGTCCGCCTAGATCTCTCAGGGGACACGCAGCTGGACGGAGGCTTATCCTTGTTTCAGGCACTGCAGTCTGTCAGCGGCCTCACATGGCTAAATTTGTCGGGATGCTGCGGGCTTCCGGCGTCCTTTGTGGCACCGCAGCTTCCGGCGGCCTATCCCAAGTTGCAGGTCAGCAGGGTGCTGATGCTGATAGGGGCCTAGGCTAGTGGGGAGGGGTTCGGAACTACAACCAAGTGCAGAGGGACCGAGTGACTGCAGTCGGCTGTCAAGTCTTCGCATATACCTGCTATAGAGGTAATCGCCCAAATGCGGCCCTGGTGTGGCAGTTGGGCGTGCCACTCGGGCTGGACTTGGTGGACGGACGGACACATCGCACATGTCGCGTTGGGACATACAGTTGGTGGCACGCGGACTAGTCGGGGGTGGTGTTTCGGGGCCGCAGTTCCTTTCGCTGATGACACACGTTTCATATTCCTCCCCCCCCTAACCCTCGCTTTGGAAAAATTGCTTACATGCATTGCCTGCCTCATCTTCCTCGCCACCCCCACACACAGCACCTGGCCCTCAACTGCAATTGCAGCTCCAGAGCAGACCCCGAGGCGGCGCTGCTCACAGCACTCGCCTCCGCGCCCCTTGCAGCCTCCCTCACGTCCTTGGAGCTCCACTGCACACCCGCCTTCCAACCAGAACTAACCCACATCGCAGCAGCAAAATCAGCGTTTGACACCTCAGAAGCCTCGCCCCTGCCACCTCAGAAGCCTCGCCCCTGCCACCTCAGAAGCCTCGCCCCTGCCACCTCAAAAGCCTCGCCCCTGCCACCTCAGAAGCCTCGCCCCTGCCACCTCAGAAGCCTCGCCCCTGCCACCTCTGAAGCCTCACCCCTGCCACCTCAGAAGCCTCGCCCCTGCCACCTCAGAAGCCTCGCCCCTGCCACCTCAGAAGCCTCGCCCCTGCCACCTCAGAAGCCTCGCCCCTGCCACCTCAGTACCCTCGCCCCTGCCACCTCAGAAGCCTCGCCCCTGCCACCTCAGTACCCTCGCCCCTGCCACCTCAGAAGCCTCGCCCCTGCCACCTCAGAAGCCTCGCCCCTGCCACCTCAGAAGCCTCGCCCCTGCCACCTCAGAAGCCTCGCCCCTGCCACCTCAGAAGCCTCGCCCCTGCCACCTCAGAAGCCTCGCCCCTGCCACCTCAGAAGCCTCGCCCCTGCCACCTCAGAAGCCTCGCCCCTGCCACCTCAGAAGCCTCGCCCCTGCCACCTCAGAAGCCTCGCCCCTGCCACCTCAGTACCCTCGCCCCTGCCACCTCAGTACCCTCGCCCCTGCCACCTCAGAAGCCTCGCCCCTGCCACCTCAGAAGCCTCGCCCCTGCCACCTCAGAAGCCTCGCCCCTGCCACCTCAGAAGCCTCGCCCCTGCCACCTCAGAAGCCTCGCCCCTGCCACCTCAGAAGCCTCGCCCCTGCCACCTCAGAAGCCTCGCCCCTGCCACCTCAGAAGCCTCGCCCCTGCCACCTCTGAAGCCTCACCCCTGCCACCTCAGAAGCCTCGCCCCTGCCACCTCAGAAGCCTCGCCCCTGCCACCTCAGAAGCCTCGCCCCTGCCACCTCAGAAGCCTCGCCCCTGCCACCTCAGTACCCTCGCCCCTGCCACCTCAGAAGCCGCGCCCCTGCCACCTATGAAGCCTCACCCCTGCCACCTCAGAAGCCTCGCCCCTGCCGCCTCAGAAGCCTCGCCCCTGCCACCTATGAAGCCTCAACCCTGCCACCTCTGAAGCCTCGCCCCTGGCACCCGCCGACCTAGCACCCGCCGACCTAGCACCCGCCGACCTAGCACCCACCGACCTAGCACCCGCCGACCTAGCACCCGCCGACCTAGCACCCGCCGACCTAGCACCCGCCGACCTGGCCCCCGCCGACCTGGCCCCCGCCGACCTGGCACCCGCTGACCTGGCACCCACCTACCTGGCACCCGCCGACCTGACGCCCGCCGACCTAGCACCCGCCGGCCTAGCACCCGCCGACCTAGCACCCGCCGACCTAGAACCCGCCGCCCTGGCACCCGCCGACCTAGCACCCGCCGCCCTAGCACCCGCCGACCTGGCACCCGCCGACCTGGCACCCGCCGTCCTAGCACCCGCCGACCTAGCACCCGCCGACCTAGCACCCGCCGACCTAGCACCCGCCGACCTGGCACCCGCCGTCCTAGCACCCGCCGACCTAGCACCCGCCGACCTAGCACCCGCCGACCTAGCACCCGCCGACCTAGCACCCGCCGACCTAGCACCCGCCGACCTGGCACCCGCCGTCCTAGCACCCGCCGACCTAGCACCCGCCGACCTAGCACCCGCCGACCTAGCACCCGCCGACCTAGCACCCGCCGACCTAGCACCCGCCGACCTGGCACCCGCCGACCTAGCACCCGCCGACCTAGCACCCGCCGACCTAGCACCCGCCGACCTAGCACCCGCCGACCTAGCACCCACCGACCTAGCACCCGCCGACCTGGCACCCGCCGACCTAGCACGCGCCGGCCTAGCACCCGCCGACCTAGCACCCGCCGACCTAGCACCCGCCGACCTAGCACCCGCCGACCTAGCACCCGCCGACCTAGCACCCGCCGACCTAGCACCCGCCGACCTGGCACCCGCCGACCTGGCACCCGCCGACCTAGCACCCACCGACCTAGCACCCGCCGACCTAGCACCCGCCGACCTAGCACCCGCCGGCCTAGCACCCGCCGGCCTAGCACCCGCCGACCTAGCACCCGCCGACCTAGCACCCGCCGACCTAGCACCCGCCGACCTAGCACCCACCGACCTGGCACCCGCCGACCTAGCACCCGCCGACCTAGCACCCGCCGACCTAGCACCCGCCGACCTAGCACCCGCCGACCTAGCACCCGCCGACCTAGCACCCGCCGACCTAGCACCCGCCGGCCTAGCACCCGCCGGCCTAGCACCCGCCGACCTAGCACCCGCCGACCTAGCACCCGCCGACCTGGCACCCGCCGACCTGGCACCCACCGACCTGGCACCCGCCGACCTAGCACCCGCCGACCTAGCACCCGCCGACCTGGCACCCGCCGACCTAGCACGCGCCGACCTAGCACCCGCCGACCTGGCACCCGCCGACCTGGCACCCGCCGACCTGGCACCCGCCGACCTAGCACCCACCGACCTAGCACCCGCCGACCTGGCACCCGCCGACCTAGCACCTGCCGACCTAGCACCCGCCGACCTAGCACCCGCCGACCTGGCACCCTCCGACCTAGCGCCCGCCGACCTGGCACCCTCCGACCTAGCACCCGCCGACCTAGCACTCGCCGACCTAGCACCCGCCGGCCTAGCACCCGCCGACCTAGCACCCGCCGACCTAGCACCCGCCGACCTAGCACCCGCCGACCTAGCACCCGCCGACCTAGCACCCGCCGACCTAGCACCCGCCGACCTAGCACCCGCCGACCTAGCACCCGCCGACCTAGCACCCACCGACCTAGCACCCACCGACCTGGCACCCGCCGGCCTGGCACCCGCCGGCCTGGCACCCGCCGACCTAGCACCCGCCGACCTAGCACCCGCCGACCTAGCACCCGCCGACCTAGCACCCGCCGACCTAGCACCCGCCGACCTAGCACCCGCCGACCTGGCACCCGCCGACCTGGCACCCGCCGACCTGGCACCCGCCGACCTAGCACCCACCGACCTAGCACCCGCCGACCTGGCACCCGCCGACCTAGCACCCGCCGACCTGGCACCCACCGACCTAGCACCCGCCGACCTAGCCCCCACCGACCTAGCCCCCGCCGACCTAGCACCCGCCGACCTAGCGCCCGCCGACCTGGCCCCCGCCGACCTGGCCCCCGCCGACCTGGCACCCGCCGACCTGGCACCCACCGACCTAGCACCCGCCGACCTAGCACCCGCCGACCTAGCACCCGCCGACCTAGCACCCGCCGACCTAGCACCCGCCGGCCTAGCACCCGCCGGCCTAGCACCCGCCGACCTAGCACCCGCCGACCTGGCACCCGCCGACCTGGCACCCGCCGACCTGGCACCCGCCGACCTGGCACCCGCCGACCTAGCACCCGCCGACCTAGCACCCGCCGACCTAGCACCCGCCGACCTAGCACCCGCCGACCTAGCACCCGCCGACCTAGCACCCGCCGACCTAGCACCCGCCGACCTAGCACCCGCCGACCTAGCACCCACCGACCTAGCACCCGCCGACCTGGCACCCGCCGGCCTGGCACCCGCCGGCCTAGCACCCGCCGACCTAGCACCCGCCGACCTAGCACCCGCCGACCTAGCACCCGCCGACCTAGCACCCGCTGACCTAGCACCCGCCGACCTAGCACCCGCCGACCTGGCACCCGCCGACCTGGCACCCGCCGACCTAGCACCCACCGACCTAGCACCCGCCGACCTGGCACCCGCCGACCTAGCACCCGCCGACCTGGCACCCACCGACCTAGCACCCGCCGACCTAGCCCCCGCCGACCTAGCCCCCGCCGACCTAGCACCCGCCGACCTAGCACCCGCCGACCTAGCACCCGCCGTCCTAGCACCCGCCGACCTAGCACCCGCCGGCCTAGCACCC